TCGTGTTCAACACTTCCAGCAGCTAAACGGACCGAGAGCATATCGTTTTCAAAAATGGACTCTCATCCTCATTCGCGCAACCCACATTCGTTCTCCAGGACCTCAACCGCAACACGTGGAAACTGGCTCATCTTCTACAATTGGCTTTCGCTTGAGGGGCCCTGCACATTTTTACAAACACAAGTTTGCAATCCTGTGGTAGGCCTGTCGCTCCAAGTGTCCGGGCCTGTACGGTCGAACGCTTACAATTGCGAAGAACACTGTACCGATGGAGGGTGATTCCTGCTCAAAACGGGGCTCCCGCGGGACACTTATGCACAGGTGCACCTGTCCATCCGACCGCTTGGCATGTCGAATGTCTAGACGGATGAAGGGCGGCTTCTTTGCAAAACGGGGCTCTCCCATGAACTGCTGCAAGCCAATGGGGAGCTCGCCGTTCGAGGGGGCGCTTCCCCGTAGTGAGAAGAAATACGTGCAAGGCCATATGGTAAGGAGGATTTGGGACAGGATGGTGTGTTGCAGCATCGTTTATGCATCCTGGGTTTACTCTTTTCACTGCTCCTCCACCTGCGAATCCTCCCTCCCCATTCTTAGGTCATCTTCCCTCCTCCTCCAGCTCTCTTCACTCCTTCCTTGCTCCGTTTCTACATCCACAGTCCTGGTGCCTCCTTGCGTCCAACTTTCTCATGCTGCTCCTCATCCTGCTCCCTGCTACCATATTCATTATTACCCGTGCTTCCATCACGCTCGTCTTTAATTCCTCCCTCCCTCCCCCACCTCCTCCTCAACCTCACCCTTCTCCCTTCCTACCTCTCCCCCTCCATCACCCATACTTCTCGACAATAAAATTGATCTTCCTCCTCTTCAGTTACCCCGACGTAGGCGAGAGAGCGCCGTCGCGTCTGCCAGCGCGCAGAATTCACGAACACGAGAGAGAACAACACGCGTTGCGAGGGAAACGGATAGGCAACTACAATGGAATACATACACACTCCTTGTATGCCTCCTCGTCTACCTTCTTCCTCCTCACTTCCCAAGCAGCCGTCCCTCCACGTCACTGGTATGGGCTCCCTCTCCTTGCCTCCCGTCTGGCAGATGAGAGCGGACCGCGTGCTCCCACCTCCTTCTCCTCCTCCGATGACGACTTCGACGACGAAGACGGGCATGGCGACGACAAAGACGACACAACCGACGGCGACGACGAATCCGCCAACGAAGCCGACGACACCGTCGATGACGCCGCCGCCACCGACGACGTCAAGACGGCGTCGCCACCAACGACGAGAGTAACGCAGCCCAACGACGACGACGGTGACGACGTCGACGTTGACATTCACGACGCCACTAACGACGATGCCGCCGACGACGACGACGACGATGATGATGGCGACGTCTCCGCCAACGGCAACGTCGACGAACACGAGCACACAGACGACGCCAATAGTCACGATGCCGACGACGCCGCTGACGCCGCCGAAGACGACGTCGACGAAGACCACGACCACGTTGCCGACGACGCCGCCGACGATGCCGACGACGCCTGGGGAAACCAAAAGGTACTGATACTGCTACTCCACGGACCTCTCGCGGGGTGCGTTCCGACCAGGAAGCTCAAAAAGGTGAAAATGCTGGACCGCGAAAACGGCATCTGTTCCGTCCTCTGAGCGCCGACGACGCCGTGGACGACGACGACGACGACTGAAGGGGCCCTGGGACACACAAATAAATACACACAAATAACAGGATCCCCGATATTTTCATATATTTTCTGGGTTTTTGTCTTCCCCCCACTTCCCATATTTTCCCATATTTTCTGGGGAATCGACGATTCAATGTGTCTGTGTGTTTTGTCCCCTCCTGAACGACGACCAACGACGACGGCGACCAACGACGACAAGTGGCCGCCTCCTCCACCGAGCCGCCCTCTGGCTCCAGGCAGATCGCAATGGGGACGTCCGCCGGCCGGCCGACGTCGAAGGCCAGCTGCTCCGCGGGGATCTGCGACAGGTCGAGCGGAGGGCCTCGGCCGGTCGTCGCCGACGTCGTCGTCGTCGCAGTCGCCGTCGTCGTCGTCGTCGTGGTCGTCGTCGAGGTCGTCGTCGTCGTCGTCTTTGTCGTAGTCGTGGTCGTGGTCGTGGTCGTGGTCCTGGTCGCGGTCGTGGTCGTGGTCGTCGCCGTCGTCGTCGTCGTCGCCGTCGTCGTCGTCGTCGTCGTCGTCGTCGTCGTGGTCGTCGTCGTGGTCGTGGTCGTCGGGCATCAATGGGGCGAGGTCCGGGGGCGCTTGGGCGATCCTCCTCTGCCGGCTGGGCGGCCGGCTCTCGTAGCACTGTCCCAGCCCGGCTCCGAAGCGGCGCCGGTCCTGCGGGGGCACACAGCAAAAAATCTGGGGGGCCCTGCTCCACAGACCACTCCCCGCCCAAGCCTCCAACATTCTGAAGCTCTCAGTCCAAGCGGCTTTCCTCCATCTTGGCCTTGACGGGGCCAGGTTTCGGACCCCTGGACCACCATAAACGGGCCCGTGACGCAGAAGTGCATTTCGGGAGAAGGTCGGGGCCTCTGGGGCCACGGATTTCTCAACCCAGAACATCGGAGGATGTCCGGGCACGGGCGACGAGCAGCAGGAGGCAACTCCTATAAGAGCTCCTCGAGGACGCGTAATCGAGGGCTAGAACGCTCGGCTGCGGGGCCACTGCGCGGGGCTAAGCAAGAGCAGTGCTCAGAACCTGGCCGGCATGGACGGGATTGAGCCGGCTCGAGCGGGGCTGGGACCAGGGTCGGACCAGCGCCGATGCTGAATTCACCCCTGCACAAGAATCAGGAGGGAAAAAAAAACACAGACACAATTAATCGTCGATCCCCAGAAGATATGGGAAAATATGGGAAGTGGGGGGGAAGACGACAACCCAGAAAATATATGAAAATACGGGGAATATGTTTATGTGTGTATTTATTTGTGTGTCCTGGGGCCCCTTCAAAGAATTGCATCCGAGCACATCCAGATCCCGTCGGGGGCAAAGAGCCGAGGCGCGATTCTGAGAGCCGAGGCGCCGTCCGCGGAGGCGCTCCGCGCGGGACCTCCGCGCCCAGCCGTGTATCGTATCGTGAGGTTTCGGCCGAATGGTCCGGCCCTCGAGGCGAACGCGAGCGACGAGCACGAGTACAGTCGAGGCGTTAACCTAAGGAACCCTAAATAAGGAACGAGGCCCCTTTTTTTCCATAAGTTAAACTTCGATTTCCCATCGAAAGCTTAAGGACAACCTTAGGCAAGGTGTGGAGCAATTAAGGAACACCGAGCCCCTCCCCAACGCAAAGGGTTCCTTCTTCAGCGCCCCGACTGTATTGGCACGCGGGCACACTTGCTACATGTCATGGGCAGCACGACTTATCGCAGAGCTGCGCTCGCCAGCCGCCCTGCCACCCCTTGCAGGCAAGGCAGCGCGCGCCAGAGGCAAGCCAGGATGCTCGGTCTGAGAATCTGGCCGCAGCTCTGGCAGCGGAATGGTCGCCGAACGCGAGCCGCCACGGCGCACAGTTGGAGGAATGAACTTCCTGGTGAAATCCTTGCCACTGAAAAGGAATCCACCATGTCAGCTGGCACGCTCGGAATGAGTTACCTGCCAGCAACGCTGGACACTCGATGCGCGACTCCCGCGAGCCAGCACACTTGCCATGCGCGTCCTGGCAGCAACGCTGGTAGCGTGCAGCGCAATGAAAATTAGCCAACACGCTCACGAAACTCATGGGAGGGGCGCTGGAGCGCCACTGGAGTGATCCTCCTACTCCACTTCCTCCTCCCCGTCCTCCTTCGCCTCGTACTCCTCCTCCTCCTCCTCTTCTTCTTCTTCTTCTTATTCGTCGTCTTCCTCTTCTTCATCTTACATCCCCTCCTCCTCTTCGTGTTGATGCGAGCGCCGAAGAATAGGCCGGAACACCACGACAAACAAGCCCCCACTCACTCTGTTTAGCAGGGCTAGCGACGCACGAAGAAGCGGCGCAGCGCGACGAACTGGAAACCGAACACCACCGCTGCCCAGCGCCCCGGCCGGGCTAGGCTGCCGCCGCGGGCCGCAGCTCGGCCTCCCGGCCCGCGCCAGCGCGGCCCGCGCCCAGCTCAGTCCAGAGCTGGCGGGTGACAGCCCGGGGCTCCCGCCCCCAGCGGCCGGCCATGGCGCTCGCCGCCGCCGCCGCGGCCTCGTCGCCCAAGAGCGCCGCCTCCGCGCGCGCCAGCGAGCGCAGGTGCTCGAGTGCAGCTGCCCCGTACCGGCCGCCGCTCTCCAGCGCCAGCGGCACCACGCCCAACGGGGCGCGGCCAGCTGGGCACCGCTGGCGTTTGTCTGCTTCGGCCTCAACGTTTGCCGCCCCGTGGGGCACGTGGAACTAAGACTATGTAACCCCCTGGCCTCGGTGTACAGCTGCCGTCTGTCCATGCGCAGCACGGCCCAGGATGCTTTCCGCCGGCCCTTCCGCCACCCCACCTCAGCATTGGGGAGACGGGTCCTGCGGGAAGCGGGTCCTGGACCCTGGGGCCTTCCTCCGGGACGAGATCTCTTCACCATGAGCCAATTTCTGCCAGTCCTCGGGCCCTCTGAAGAGCCCCAAGAGCTCGAAAAAGGAGAGAAACCTCAGGACCCGCTTCCCTCAGGACTCGGCTCCCCCATGGCAACCTGTCCCAGCCAGAAATGTTGTCAGAACATTCCGTGGGAACCACGAAAGGTACTTAGAACATTGCTTGGTAGGGCTATAGGCGAGCCAGGACGCTTCGCCACTGCTTGAAGCACCGTGCCTCCCCCCCAAACAGCCAAGATCTACTCCTTGGGGGGGGGAGAGGGGGATGCGAGGGCCCGGCAAAACAGTGCGCATAAAGAACGCTCACGCAGCGAAGGCACCATGGAGGCGAGCACCGTGCCCCCCCCCCCCCCGAAGCTGGGCCCCGGCCCCGCCCCCCGCGCGGTCCAGCAGCGCCCCCAGCTGCCCGTGCCACGGGGGCGGCCCCTCCGCCGCCGGCGCGCCCTCCCGTGGGCGCTCGTCCTCCGGCGCCTCGGGCGCACCGTGGTCCTCAGGCGGGCGCGCGAACCCGCGGGCGTCGTCGTCGTCGGAGTCGTCGTCGTCGTCGTCCTCCTCCTCCTCCTCCTCCTCGTCGTCGGATCGAGTTCTGCCGTTGCTTTGGCGGGCTGAGCCACCAGAGGCGTCTGGAGCCCTCTGAGGACCTCCAGCGATCTCTGGAGACCTCCAGAGGCTGTCGCCGTCGGCGTGGTCGGCGTCGTCGTCGTCGTCGTCGTCGTCGTCGTCGTCGTCGTCGGCGTCGGCGTCGGCGTCGGCGTCGGCGTCGGCGTCGGCGTCGTCGTCGTCGTCGTCGTGGTCGTGGTCGTGGTCGTGGTCGTGGTCGTGGTCGTCGTCGTCGTGGTCGTCGTCGGCGTTGGCGTATTCGTCGATGGCGACGACGGCGGCGTCGGCAGCGAGGACAGGAAAGCTGTGATGGTGAGCCGCGTGGGGCGCAGAGGGACATGAGAAGGGGCCCCGGGACACACAAATAAATACATACAAATAAAAGGATTCTCATATTTTCCCATATTTTCTGGGTTTTGTCTTCCCCCCCACTTCCCCATATTTTCCCATATTTTCCTGGGAGTCGGCGATTAATTGTGTGTGTGGTTGTGTGTGTGTGGTTGTGTGGTTGTGTGGTTGTGTGGTTGTGTGGTGGTGTGGTGGTGTGTGTGTGTGTGTTTTTCCCTCCTGAACATGCCACGCCAGTGCTGTATGCGCCAACCCCCCCTGGCGGAGGCGCGCGCCCGAGCCGAGCGTGCTGCACGGGCACGCGAGTGTGTGTGTATATATAAGTATATATATACATATATATATATATATATATATATATCGGCGCCCGGGCGGCATGGCCAGACAGCGCCCGCGCCAACGAGAGAATCTACGACGATGATATATGCCAGAGCGCGCGCGCCACGAGGCTCCCAAAGCGGCCCCCCAGGCTACCCAGGCTCCCCAGGCTACCCCCAGGAGGCCCCCCAGGCTACCCCCAGGAACCCCCCCAGGCTACCCCCAGGCTACCCCCAGGATCTTCCCAAGAGCTTCGTCGCTGCGGCCGTGGTCGTCGCCGCCCTGCCGGGGTCGGCGGCACCGGCCGTGAGGCCTTCGCAGTATGTACGCGGCGATGCGGCGATGTGTACACCAGAGCGCGTGCGTCGCCCCGCCCGGGGCCGACGCGCACGTCAGCACTCCAGGGGCCCAAGGACACACACACAAACACATACACACAGATAGCGAGATTCCCTTATATCTTCCCATAGTTTCTGGGTTTTGGTCTTCCCCCCCACTTCCCATCTTTTCCCATCTTTTCGGGGGAATCGACGATTCATTGTGTCTGTGTGTTTTTTCCCCTCCTGAAGCACGTGCAGGTGTCGATGGTGAGCTGGCGTGCGGGGCACCAGGACTGGGGGCCGCCGGAGGGGCTCGCCGCCCTGGCTCCGGCGACGATGCAGGAGGGGCCCCGGGCGAGAGGCGACCTGTGGTGCGCGCGCGGCTCTGCGGGGGCCGCGGGTGGGCCAACACACAAGCGCGCAAGACGCCACTGCCGCCTCGCGTTCGGCGATCGCGGGACCCCCGTGGGCCCGCACCAAAGGTCACGCTGGCGAGGGGTCACCCTTACGTGCAGTCGACGGTTGGGGTGCGCCACGAGATCCTGGCAGGGCGGCCTCCCCCCCCCCTGCAGGATCGCAAGGCCTGGAAGCCCTCCGCCGGGCGGCGGGGGCGGAGAGGTGGGCAAGGGCAAGGGCGAGGGCGAGGCAGAGGGGCGAGGGCGGGGTAGGACCTCGAGGGCGAGAGCAAGGGCGCGAGGGCGAGGCAGAACCTCGAGGGCCAGGGCGGGGGCGAGGCTCACATCGCTCCGGCCCAGAACACGCTGCAGCAGGATGGGCCGGGGTCCAGGGCTCTGGTCGCAATTTCTGTCCACGATGCTGCACCTTCCGCGAGATGTCGGACCTCAGGGTCCGGCGGTGTGGCGTACCGTCCAAACGCACACCTCCGAAGACCTGGTGGTCTCCAATCCCAGCGCTCTTCCTCGCCTCGGCCTCGCGGAGAGCCGCCCGCGGGACCCAGGGCCACCACCAGAAACGGGCCCCCTGGGCGCAAGACTGCCCAAAGGGTAAGACGACGCCAGGGCGAGGATAACATCGGGCGAGGATCAATCGAGGATCTCTGAGATCCGGCGGCTCTGGAGGATGTCTCGGACGCCGCGGCCTTCTCAGAGTCTTCCGGGATGCTCTGGGAGCGTCCCGGAACGCTCTGAAACGGATTTATCCCCGTCTGTAGCCCCGTGCGAAAAAGACATATCGGAGGACGTCTGGGAGGCTGGTCAGCACGACGTCTAGAGGAGCAGCTCCCCAGACATCCTCCGATCTGATGTTTTCAATCCGCGGCCCTAAGAACTCCCAACCCCTCTCGCACGGGGTACTCTGTGTCCCTCAATAGTTCTGGGTCGCCGGACTGCAGGTCCCCCCGGACGACAGGTACCCCCCAACGGACTGCAGGTACCCCCCCTGCAGGACTACATCCACGCGTGCTTTGACTCGTGAACACGCGTTACCCCCCAGACTGCAGGTGCCCCCCCGACTACAGGTACCCTTCCCCCGGACTACAGGTACCCACCCTGGACTACTGGTACCCCCCCGCCCAGGACTTCAGGTGTCCCTCCCCTGGACTACAGGTACCTTCCCTGGACTACAGGTACCCCCAGAACTATTGAGGGACACAGCGTAAGTTTGCGTCCCAGACCCAGTTTTGGCTGCCCCATGGGGCCCGCTAGCGGGCCCCAGGAGGCCGACACAGAGGAAGAACGCCCGCATTGAAAAGATCATGCCGTCGGGAATTTGGAGAGACCGTCGTGCTTTGTTGGAAGGGCGGGGAGTAGGCGCCCAGCGGGTCGTTTGTCCGGCAGGGCGTGGCCGAGGCCTCGAGGCGCGTCGCGAGGCGCAGAGAGCTTGAGGAAGCGCTTGCCCCGGGGACGCCCAGACTAAACACACACACACACACACGCACACACACACACACACACACACACACACACACACACTTGTTGGCGGGCGGCGAGGAGGCGAAACAAACACACGCACACACACATTCACACTCACACACACACTCACACACACACACACTTTTTGTGTGTGACACACACACACACACGCACAAACACACACACACACACTCTCACACACACACATACACACTTTTTTGGGGCGGTTGCGGCCTCGCGCGCAGCGTCGAGGCGGAGCAAGCCAAGTGAGGCAATGATGGGCAACGATCGGGGCGACTGGCGTATCGACCTAAAATCAGCGATACGTCGCCGATTGATCGGCGGCATGCCCCCGCTAGCGAATCCGAACGTCCCTGGGCAGGTCGGGGCTGCCAGACCCCTATCGGCGATGATTAGGCCATTAGGGGTCGATGCGTCCCCCAATGCCTATCCCCCCTAGCCGTCGATCGGAAGAAGTTGGTAGAAGCATGAAAGAGGAAGGCGTTGGAAGTAGATTGGGTTCCCGCCCGCCCCATGAAGAAGATTGAAGAGGGAAAGCCGTCAGACCCTTGAAGTAAGAAAGCTGCTAGAGTAGACCAGGACTTGGGGGTCCAGAAACACATACGTCAGGACCTGGGACAGAAGAACATCCCTCAAGAACATGAGACATCCGTCGGCCAAAATACCCCGAACAGTAAGATCACACGAGGGTGCCCTCCCCCAGGATGCACGAGAACATCCAGCAACACGAAGAATATTAAGGTACCCTCCCCGAATCGATCTCGATCTTCTACCTCGGTCCGACCGTACCTACTTTCAACGACTGGAGTATTTCGCTGCCCCCGAGGCAGGCTGAGCCTGCGCGAAACAAACACACACTCACACAGAGGCCTCCTAGATGGGGTCCGAGTAGATAGTGTCGGACGATCGCGCCGCATCGCCGATACACCGCCGATGCATCGGCGATGCATCGGCGATGCACCGGCGATGCATCGCCGACGTCCGCGATGCATCGGCGACGTCGACGTGAAGCAATGCGGGCTCCACATCGAGCCGCATTCGCGATGCATCGGCGATGCGGCGCGATCCTCCCACCCCATCTACTCCGACCCTATCCAGGGGGGCCAGAGCGCACACGACACGCACGCAAACACACACACACACACACGCCATGGGAGGCCTGGGGCTCTGCAGGAGGCTAGAGAAGCACTGGGCGAAGAGGCTGGCGCACGGCGAGCTCCGCTCCGCCCCCGGGAATCGGCCTTCCCGAGACCCCCTCGAGCCGTGCAGCATCACGGCGGGCAGCCTTGCCGGATACGCAGCACGCAGCCCGCAGGCGTGTCGTCACTTGAGCCCCGTGCAGACCCACATTTGAGGGTCCACGGGTGCCCGAAGCAGGGCGACGACGCCTCCTGTGGACACACACACACACACACTGGACGGCGCACCGATCTCAGGCGAGGGAGGAGGAAGAGGAGGAGAAGGAGAAGGGGGAGGAGGAGGAGGAGGAGGGGGAGAGGAGGAGGAGGAGGAGGAGGCGGAGGAGGGGGGAGGAGGGGAGGAGGAGGAGAAGGAGGGGGAGGAGAGGAGGAGGAGGAGGAGGAGGAGGAGAAGGGAGGAGGAGGAGGAGGAGGAGGGAGGAGGAGGAGGAGGAGGCGGAGGAGGAGAAGGGCGGAGGAGGCGGAGGAGGCGGAGGAGGAGAACGCCGGTCCGGTGCGGCACGCTCGCCCAAGACGCGGGCCAGCACGTCGAGCCCACACGCGGCGCGTGCACGCGGCGCGTGCTCTCTGCACGCGGCACGCGCTGCCTCCCAGCACGCGCGCACTATCTCAGGGCAGCGAAGCGCGGGGCCCAGACCCCCGACGTCGTGATTCTTTCTTGGCGGCGCGCACAAGGGGGTGGGGGGAGGGGGGAGGCTGCTTCTTAGAAAGCGCCGGCCTTACATCTACAGATAAGGGCCGCGCCTTCTAAGAAGCAGGGGTGCGTCTAAGAAGCCCTTCCCCCTCCCCCCACCCCCCTCTGCGCGTGGCTGACTTTCACAACGTCGACCCCCAGAGGTCTGGACCCCTCCCCCCGGGACCGGCTTCTCGTCCCGAGCCGTTTTGTTGCCGGCCCCGAGGCCTGGCGAGGGCCCCCATGAGGCCGAAGACAGCGAAAACCTCCGGTCGTGATTGTTTCGCAGCGCGAGGAGGTCGGGGGAGGCTTTTCTGGATGCTTGGCCGCTGGGGGGCCCTCGCGGGGCCTCGGGACCCGTCGACGAGGCGACGCCGTCGATGGGAAATTCGGGTCCCGACGGGGGAGGCCCCGGCGAGCGGCGGGGCCGAGGCCCCAGGGGGCGTCGCGGGGGCAGCAACAAAAAACCCTCGAGGTTCTTCTCCCCCTCCTCCTCCTCCTCCTCCCCCTCCTCCTCCTCCTCCTCCTCCTCCTCCTCCTCCTCCTCCTACCCCTCCTCCTCCTCCTCCTCCTCCTCCTCCTCCTCCTCCTCCTCCTCCTCCTCCTCCTCCTCCTCCTCCTCCTCCTCCCCCTCCTCCCCCTCCTCCTCCTCCCTCCTCCTCCTCCTCCTGCTCCTGCTCCTCCTCCTCCTCCTCCTCCTCCTCCTCCTCCTCCTCCTCCTCCTCCTCCTCCGTTTCGTGTACCGCGCCCTCGCAGCCCCAGTCAGGGCTCCACCGCCCAGGGCCGCGCTCAATAGCTGCAAGAACCACGCCCCAGGAAGGGATGACCTCGCATATGCCGACCCCGCGACCGGGACCCTCGCCTACACCCCAGGGCTTCATGGGTGCAGTATACGTTCGGCCCGTGATGCGCAATGAGGATGCAGGGGCTGGGGGAGGCCATGTCGGAGCGTCCCGCGCGGGGCGCGGCCAGCGACAGTGGCCAAGGAGGGACCGAGGAGGCAAGGATGCAAGGGCACCCTTGGGAAGGCTGCCCATCCTCATCGTGCGGACTGACTGTACACACAAACTCTGTCGGACGGGAAGACCAGGAGGGCGGGCGCGCCCCGCTCCGCCCCCAGGGGCGTCGACCTCTCGTGGAGGGAGGCCCAGAGCCCCCTCGAGTCAGGAGCAAAACCACGGCAAGGGAGGTGTGTCCGGATGTTTGGCCTCTGAGGGGCCCTCACCGGGCCTCGGGACTGGCAAGAACCGAGCCAGCATGAGAAGCCGGTCCCAGGGAAGGGGTCCGGATCTCAGGAGGTCGCGACATGGAACAACGATGACGTCAGGGGTCTGGAATGGTGGAGGGGGATTCTTGAAAAAATGGTGACGTCGGGGGTCTGGGGAGGGGCTCGGCTGCACGCAAGAGTAGCCCCAGGCAAGAGGAGCCTTTGGCGCGCGGCTCCAGGGCAGGCCAGTGCTGGGGATACAGTCATCGGCCTGACCTAAGGAACGATAAATAAGGAACGAAGCCCCTTTTGTATCCCAAGGAGTAACGCATGAGGAACGATAAAGAACAAATAACGCATAAGGAAATGTAAGTAACGCATGTAAGCCTAAGGAACGACCGAGCCCGTTTGAAAAGTAAGTGCTCCTTATTCAAGCCGCTCACTGTACCTCAGTCGAAGATTGACAGAATACACTTGAGCGACACGCCCTGCTGTGGCTGAAGCTGCCAGGGGCAGCACTCCACGTGCGCAGGGCAACGCCTTCCGAGTGGACCCCAGCGCGGTCTCATCGACGCCCAAAACCAAGTAGATGTACAGTCGGGGGCGTTGGAGTTAAACTTCGATTCCCGATCGAAAACATAAGGAAAACCAGAGGCAAGCTGCGACACACTTAAGGAACGCGGAGCCCCTCCCCAACGAAAAGGGTTCCTTCTTTAGGGCCCCGACTGTAGATGTATCCAGCGGAACGCATGTCGATGAGCGATCTCGTCTGTGGACTGCACCGGCACACGCCAACTCCAATGCCGAGACTCCGGAGCCGGCGTGGCCGTGCGGGCGTGCTGTCGATGCCCGGCCTCGTGTTCCCGCGTGCCACCGGTCACTCCAGCGAAGGGGCGCTCCTACGCGCCGCCGAGAGGCGCTCTCCAAGAGAGAGGCCGCCGCCGCCTCCGCGGAGGAGGGCCGCGTCCCGGAGGACGGCGCCGAGGCCCCGGAAGGAGGGCCCACGTCGCGATTAATAATCGTCGATTCCCCAAAAAATATAAGAAAATATAGGAAGTGGGGGGGAAGACGAAAACCCAACAAATATTAGAAAATATGGGGGATAGTTCTATCTGTGTATTTATTTGTGTGTCCCAGGGCCCCTTCAGAGGAGGCCACGCCGTCGAGCGGGGCCCCCGGGGGGGTGGGGGGGGGCGGCGGAGCAGGAGGAGGGCCCGGCCACGGCGGCGGGGCAGGTGCCGCCTCGGCCTGCGATGGCGAGGGCGAGGAGGTGCGAGGGCTGCGTCGGGCGTGACCCTCTACAGGGGGGATAACGATTCAAAGCCAGCCAAAAAATACTCCGGGGACTTTTTTTACATTGTTCGACTAGTTCTGAAACAATTATCAATATGTCAACCAAGAGCCGCCCGTAGGAGGACATGCCCGACCTGCTTCGAGGGGCGAGGGCGAAGAGGAGGGTGAGAGCGAGGGGGAGGGAGGGGGGGGGAGGCCACGGCGAGGGCGAGAAGCAGGAGGAGGGACGAGGCTGGAGAGGAGGCGGGGCGGGGAAGGGCAGGGAGAGGGGCCGCGGAAGGGCAGCGGAGAGGTGAGAGGAGGACGGGCGCGGAGAAGCGCTCGTGACCAGCCTCGAACTGATCCCGATCCCTAAGATGCGCTAGCCAAAGGCTATGACAATCTTAGGGATGTGCCCTCAGAAACTGAAGGAATCCTTGAGAACGGTATCGAGGTAAGCTGATGCCAAACATAGGGACAGGGATCTGCTTCAAACTGGTAAGCTCGACTTGATGAAGGCTCATGGTCAGCCTGCAGGCAAGAGAGTCGTCTCAGAACGACTGCAGCCTAAGGAAAGAAAGGGTCGGGAGACCCTGCCATCCCGGACCAGCATGCGGGAAGAGAATGCTCGAGGAGCTGACAACCGCACAAACGTACTTTGCTGGAGGACCCCGCGGCCCTCCTGGAGCGGCGCTGGGCCCCCTGGCGGCGCCGCTGGGGGACCCAGCGCGCCGATCCGAGAAGTCCACGCGGACCTCCGACGGTTGTGTGCCCATGTCCCCCGATGCTTTCCGAGAGGAGGAGGAGGAGGAGGAGGAGGAGGAGGAGGAGGAGGAGGAGGAGGAGGAGGAGGAGGAGGAGGAGGAGGAGGTGGTGGGCGACGAGGACGAGGAGGGGAAGAGGACGACGACGGCAAGACCTAGGAGGGCATGGGTTCTTCCGCGTCGGCGTCGTCGGCGTCGCCGGTCCTCCTTCGGCCTCGGCCCCTGCGGGGCCTGGGGCACGAGCTCGAGGCGGCGCTCGCCCTCGGGGCCCTGGCTCTGCTCCACCTCGGTGACGAGCAGGTGGACTGCGGGCGGGGGGGCGGGCCGGCGGACGAGTTCGCGCGGCAGCTGCTCGAAGATCCCTGGCCTCCCAGTTGTCAAACGAAAGGCCCCCTAGATGGCGCCGCGTCGCCGATGCATCGGCGATGCATCGGCGATGCATCGGCCATGCACCGGCGATGCATCGTCGACGTGGACGATGCATCGGCGACGCCGGCGTGGAGAACATCGGGCTCCGCATCGCGCCGCATCGCCGATGCATCGGCGATGCGGCGCGATCCTCCGACCCCATCTACTCCTACCCCATCTAGGAGGCCTAGACGAATGCGACGGGAGGTCTTTCTTCGCCATGTTCGGCCACTAGGGGCCCTTGTCGGGCCCTTGGCCTGGGGAGGTGACTACCTACCAAACCACCCCAACCCAACCCGAAGTCACCGTTTGCTCGTCGATTTCCTTAGGAAATACAATGGAATCCGTACACCCCCCAATTCGAAATTCGAGGTGGTCTGGGGCCTGCGGGATGGGTGGGGGTGGCTTGGTATGTGGTGAGGATGAAAAGCGGGTCCCCCAGAAAGGGTCCAGACCTCCTGGGAGCCAATGGTGAAAACTAGCAAAGTGGCGCAGAGTATGGGAGTGGCGCAGAGTATGAACCCTGTCCCCCAAAACCTAGCGCGACGCAGAAATGAATGAAACCTGGGGCTTGCTGGCTGACTGGCTGGCTCAGCGCGGATGAAGGCCGCGAAACACAGAAGGGGCGTGACCGACTGGATGCGGTGCGGTGGCGCCATGCGAATCCTGCCACTTGGGCCTTCGGTGGGGCATACGGGGTAACGAAACGTGCGAGGTGTTTGCCGAAATAGGGCGGTGCCACTATGCGAACCCTGTCACTTGGGCCTTGGGTGGAGCTCCTATGGGGAAATGAAACGTGTGAGGGGTGTGCCGACATGGGTGCGGCGCAGCTGTGCGAACCCTGCCACATGGGACGTCGGTGAAGCCCCCTGCATGACGACACCAAAGATGGCCGAAATGGATGAGATGCCGCCATGCGAACCCTGCCCGTTGAGCCGTTGGTGGAATTCCCGATGGAGCCACGAACAGTGGGAGGCGAGACTCCAGGGAGGGCAACGGCAGCGATGAGAGGCGAGGGAGGGGGCAGCGGGAGAGTCGACGCGGGGCGCTGTCTTGTCAAAGCGAGGACTCAACACCACAGGACGGTTGGGCAAAACACGGCCCGAATATCTTGGATCGGTAACTGGCGGCCCGGGACATCTGGAGGTCCCAGGCTCTCAGAGCCTGGGACCTCCACGGCAACATTGTACAGCTGTGGCTCCGCAACGGCTCCGCGGCGGCAGGATGCGCGTTGCAACAATCTAACAAATGGGCCTGGCACGGGTTGTGCCTGGAAGGCAAGGCTGGCGCAGGCTACGGCAAACACACAAGGCACCGTGTGGTGAAGGAGGTGGCAGCGGCGGAGGAGGAAGAAGCCTGGTTGTTTTCCAGGCTTCTTCCTCCTGGCGGGAGGAGCCTGGTGCCTCGCAACGAGCCTGGTTGTTTGTCGGAGGAGGTGGCAGCGGCGGAGGCGGAGGATGTGTGCTTCTCCCCAGTGGCACTGCGAATTAAGCCTGGATGAGTTCCGATGCAGCGCGCCGCCGAGGAAGTGGGAAATCATAGGGATAAGCAGAGCCGAGGAGGACAAGGCGGTTGTGCGCGAGACCCCTTCATCAGCCACACGACGGCAGTTTCGCAGGGGGAGAAGGAAGAAACAAATTTGTATAGCCATAGAATATACAGAGATGGAGAGGGTCGGTCGAGAGTGGAGGAGAGAGAGAGAGAGAGAGCCATACAAAACAAAGGAAAACGTAAGAGGGTGCAAGGACGAAAAAGAGAGAGAGAGAGAGAGAAAGAGAGAGAGAGCAGAACGAGAGAGAGAAAGAGAGAGACGGAGAGAGAAAGGGATGGAGAGAGAGAGATATATATAGAGAGAGAGAGAGAGTGACAGAGTGAGAAGGAGAGAGGGCGAGAGACAGAGAGAGAGAGAGAGAAAGAGAGAGAGAGAGAGAGAGACAGAGTGTCAGAGACAGGGGGAAGGATACAGAGAAGGGACATGCACAAAAAAAACATGCGGCTCGTCGTGCATGACAGCGAATGCCCAGCTTCGCATCGCGTCGCACTCATGGCGCGCAGGAAGCGACGCCCTGGAGCGAAGAAAGGAAGGGACACGGACGAGAGGAGGTGGCAGTGGGGTATATAGAATCGGGAAAAGTTTCAGACGGCGAGGGGGGATCTACCAAGTTCTAACGAGTTGTGGGGCTATGTGGGGATATTATTCTTGAAGGTCCCAGCAACTGTCGAACATGATTGTATGCCTCTCTCTCCTTGTATTGTGAAAGGACTTCAGGATTTCCCGTTGGCCTTCTGAAGGTAGTAAAAACAGTCGGCGACGAGGAGGCCACTGACGGATATGCTCGAGAAATGCAGGCATGCGGTGGAGGTCCCTGGACGGCTTGCGGACCCATTCTGTTCACGAGGAAGGACTCGGCGCCATCACATTCATAGAGCAGATTTGCGTTTCGGACAAAACTTCAGACGCGCACCACAAAAGAAACGAGGCCAGGGTGACTGCTCAATCCCGGATTGGGCTTGACCGGGAACCTCCGAAATCCGCAGGGCCCAGAGGACGTATCGGCCACCACGGCCTGAAGATCCGATCCAGAGCTCGGACAAGGGACACACCTCGAGCCCCTGGGGGAGGCACACGAGTGAGACCTCGTGTGCGGGCATGATGCCCACACCCGCGGCCTCGCGGTCCGGATCCCTCGGCCGTATGACCTAGTAGGTACAGGTCGGCTTCATTGGAGCCCAGATCCCTGTGATCGCGCCTCGGTGTGCAGTCTGGGGCCCAAACATGAAGGGGCCCTGGGACACACAAATAAATACACACAAATAACAGGATCCCCCATGTGTTCATATATTTTCTGGGTTTCTGCCTTCCCCCCCACTTCCCATATTGTCCCATATCTTCTGGAACTCAACGATGAATTCTGTCTGTGTTTTTTCCCTCCTGATAGATACAGGTCGGCTTCATTGGAGCCCGGATCCATGTGATCGCGACTCGGTGTCCAGTCTGGGGCCCAAACTTACCAGCCTGGAACATATCCCTATCCCTATGCTGGGCATCTCCTCATCACGATGCCAATCTTAGGGATTCCCTTATTTTTTGAGGGCGAATCCCTAAGATTGTCATTCTATCTTAGGGATAAGGAGAAGTTTCAGGCGGGTGAAAAACAAGCATCTGCACTCCCACCGCCCGGGGCATGGGGAGCCGAAGCCCCAGGGAGACCACGGGGGGCAGCGAGGGGGGCCATCCTCGGGCCCTGGGGCCGAGTGCAACAGGATTGGCCCCCTGCCGCCTGCGCCCCGTGGGACATCTCTCCCCGCGGCGGTCGACGCTCACGTCCCCGGCTCGGGCTCCAGACCGCGAGGGCATGGACATGGCTGAAGGGGCCCTGGGACACACAAAAGAAAAAACATACACAAAAATACTCCCTATATTTTCGTATCTTTCCTGGGCTTCTGTCTTCCCCCCCCCCCCTTCCCATACTTTCCCACATTTTCTGGGGAATCGACGATTCATTGTGTCTATGTGTGTTTTTTCCCCTCCTGAATGGCTACGGCCCGCCGCCCTGCGAGGGCATTTGGCGGCGCGCACAAGGGGGTGAGGGGAGGGAGGAGGGCTTCTTTGAAGGAGGCTGCTTCTCAGAAGGCGCCGGCCTTACATCTACAGAGAAGGCCCGCGCCTTCTAAGAAGCAGGGGTGCTTCTAAGCAGCCCTCCCCCCTCCCCCCACCCCCCTCTGCGCGTGGCTGACTTTCACAACGTCGACCCCCAGAGGTCTGGACCCCTCCCCCCGGGACCGGCTTCTCGTCCCGAGCTGTTTTTGTTGCCAGCCACGAGGCCTGGCGAGGGCCCCCATGAGGCCGAAGACAGCGAAAACCTCCGAAGACACGGCGCGCAGGGGCGGCGTGCCCGGGCGGGCCTGACACCGTGCAGGCGCTCTGCGTGTCGAGCACCTCCCCGGGGGAGGGAGCGCCGGGCCGGCCCGCGGCCCCCGTCGCCGACCCGGATCCGGGCCGCGCCACGGCCCGCCCTCCATAAGCCCAGGGCTCTGCGGCTCGCGTCGTGCGACAGGGCCGCAATCCCAACATAATCAGCTCGAGGGCCCAGACGATCACTAGACATCTTCGGCTTCACTTTCTGGCAAGAAATCATATATTCATACATTTTTCTTCGGCAAGGAGTTGTTGATCTACATCTTCAGCGACCTCGTTGGCTTGGTTTCCTCCAGGATTGGCCATAGTCATCGTTAATTCTTTCACAGGCATCGGAACAGTGTCTGCCCGACATGCTGGCCAAGGGCCCGACACGAGAAGCGCGTCCAATTGTGGTACCTCCCTGGTGCTCGGAGTTCTTTTTCTGCGATCAAGGCTAAAGTTGGTCGGAACATTATAAGCTTAGGTCGGGCATGCCCCCTACGGGCAGATTTCGCAGGCAAACTAGAAAAGAGTCCCAACATTGCCACACATAGTCAAACACATGGTCCAAGAATCGTCCCCAGACTATATTTCTGACTATTCTTGAACATCCCCCCTGTATGGGGGACAGGCCCGACTCCAAAGATCGGCTACCCGCAAGAGTGACCCCGGGTAAGAGTGACCCTTGGTGCGCGGCTTTTTGGGGGGCGCGAGGAGGCCAAACCCAAGCGCGCAGGCCGCTGCTATCGCATCGCGCTCGGCGATCGGGGGGGCCCCGACGAGCCCGCACCGCAGGTCACTCCGGCGAGGGGTCACTCTGACGTGTAGCCGATATGAGCAGGGGCGCCCCGCCGCTCGCAGGCCCGATCGGCCGCCTCGGCCTCGCTGCCGGCCGCACACGCCGCCTCGACCTCGGCCGCCGTCGGCCTATAGGCACGATCTCGAGCGCCTCAGCCTCGCCCGACCCCGGCCGCGGCCTTCGCCTCAGGTCCGCGAGGAGGAGGAGGAGGAGGAGGAAGAGGAGGAGGAGGAGGAGGAGGAGGAGGAGGAGGAGGAGGAGGAGGAGGAGGAGGAGGAGGAAGGAGGAGGAGGGAGGGAGGAAGGAGGAGGAGGGAGGGAGGAAGGAGGAGGGAGGAAGGAGGAGGGAGGGAGGAAGGGAGGAGGAGGGAGGAAGGGAGGAGGAGGAGGAGGAGGAGGAGGAGGAGGAAGAGGGAGGGAGGATGCGAGCCGAATGGAGGGGGGCTCTTCGCAAAGAAGACACGAAGGAGACGCTCGGCCCCCACAAGAAGGCGCCCTTGTGACGGGCTTCGGCGCGGCCTGCGCCGTGGAGCCCTCATCGAAAGGGTCTCGATAGGGAGGGAAGAGGGGGAGGAGGGGGGGCTTGCGGCGAAGGACGCCCGGTGCACGGCGCGCCGGTGCTGCGGGGGAGAGTCCTGCGGACCCGCAACACGGGTCCCTCCAGTGGCGGGCCACGCCCGCGCGCAGCCGAGGCCTCGGTGGCCCGCTCGGCGCCGCGACCTCTGGGCGCCGCGGCGGAGCAGTCGAGACCAGCGGTCTCGAGCGGTGTCGGGTCTACTGGCAGGCCCTCACGCGTCAGTCGGGCTCGCAGCGCAGAAGGGTGGGGTCGAAGGATCCGGCCGTGGAGCTGTCTCGTCGTTCTCGTGTCCACGCCGCCAGATCCTGAAGTAGATTGCGATCTGGGAACCCCAAAAATACCGATGGACCAAAATACAAACGACACCACCCGGCACCCCACCTGCGGCCCCATGGGCCTTAGCATATACCTGAATTCCGACTTGGGCGCTTGCGTGGTATACGCTACGGCGCCCGATAGGCCGTAGCGCAACATGGAGGGCCGCAGGTGGGGTGGTGCCACTTTTATGTCGAGCATACGCTCAACGACGGGCGTGTAACGTTGGGGCAGGGCCACGAGCGGGGTTTCAGGAAAACCGCTCTGCACGGCCCCAGACAAGAGGGTGCTACCAGCCTCGAGCTGGGCTTGCTCCCCAGCCCCACCTTGGACCAGGCCCGCCCGCTTCTACGCAGGCAAGCCACTGTGATCAAGACGCGCGATGAGGGCGCCAAGGGCCTTGGAAGGCCCGGTCGACACACCGCGAGCGGGGCGCGGCCTGGGGAAGCAGCCGAGGATGGGCCGGAGGGGGAAGGCTGCCAGGGTACAGTCGGGGCGTTGACCTAAGGAACCCTAAATAAGGAACGAGGCCCCATTTTTCCATAAGTTAAACTTCGACTTCCCATCGAAAACTTAAGGACAACCTGAGGCAAGCTGTGAAACACTTAAGGAACACCGAGCCCCTCCCCAACGCACAGGGTTCCTTCTTCAGCGCCCCGACTGTAGCCTTGGAAAGTCGCTCAACCTTACTACTTGCGGAATGACTGCACGCACGCCCGGTCCTCACGAGACGCTTCTGTGTCCGGCCCCATGGACTAGCAAGGGCACCTGGCAGCCAAAGTTGAGGAAGAACCCTCCGCACCGAGTTTTGAGCAGGGACCGACCGTCCCGGCATGCCTATAGTCCTACCACGAAATGTTCTTAGAAACCAGAAATGTTCTAAGAACAAAAACAATGTTCTTAGAACATAAGCCCGATGCGACAAAACAAGACAGTCCCCGCCAGAAATGTTCTAAGAACATCTCGTGGGCACCACAGCAGGTTCTTAGAAGATCGTTTGGTGGGGCTATGGGCGAGCCAGGACGCTTCGCCGCTGCTTGACCCATGGCCTAGCAAGGGCACCTGGCAACCAAAGTGCGGAGCGGGGCGCGCCCGCCCTCCTGGTCTTCCCGCCCGAAAGAGTTTGTGTGTACAGTCAGTCCGCACGGTGAGGATGGGCAACCTTCCCAAGGGTGCCCTTGCATCCTGGCCTCCTCGGCCCCTCCTTGGCCACCTTCGCTGGCCGCGCCCCGCTCGGGACGCTCCGACATGGCCTCCCCAAGCCCTTGGATCCTCATCGTGCACCGCGGGCCGACAGTATACTGCACCCAGAAGCCCTGGGGGGTGAGCGCGCACCGAGCTCCTCACGGCGCGGGGGGGCCCCGGCATCGTCCGACGTGCGCTGTCCACCCGTGGACTGCCAGAGCGCCCGCCTGCCCCGAGCGCCGTCCTGTGGCGCCCGGGGGCCCGAGAGCGGGCCCCGGGAGGTGGGAGCCGCGGAAGCACGCCCCAGCCCAAACACTGAAAAAAAGCAAAAACCAGTCGAGCAAAGATAAACAAAAAAGCTCCTCGGGTATCGGGGATCTGAGGTGGGGGCCCTCCTTCGGGCCGGGCGAAAGAGGGGTCTACCAAAGGGGGGGGGGGGCTTTGAGAATCAGCTCACGTGGCCGATTTCCCCGGCGCCTCCCGGCGCCGGGAAGGCGGCCATGCATCGAGGAATGGGCCCCTCGGTGGCGCCGAAACCAGCCGCATGCAGCAGATTTCGTACCCCCCCCTTTCCCTATCCCCCCCTGTCGCTCGGCCCGACTCCTCTGGGCCGGGCGCCATGCTGAACTGGACGCGGTCGCTGCTGGGGTCGCTCCTCGCCCGCACGGAGTCGCGCCGGACCTCGGCGGAGCGCCCGCGCGCGGGGCCCGGCTGGAGGAGGGGGAGGAAGGGGAGGAGGAGGAGGAGGAGGAGGAGGAGGAGGAGGAGGAGGAGGAGGAGGAGGAGGAGGAGGAGGAGGAGGAGGAGAGGAGGAAGGAGGAGGAGGAGGGGGAGGAGGAGGAGGAGGAGGAGGAGGAGAGGGAGGAGCAGCGCGCCGAGGCCGTGCCGCAGGAGGCCGCGCGGGGGCGGGCTCCGCTCGCGCCATGGGCGTGGGGCGAGCGCGCCATGGTCACAACGCCGGTAGTGGGAGCAAAACTTTGGGCGCCCGAAATGGGCACGGGAAGAAGGGGTACAATGCCCAACAACACATGTTGTCCCAAACCAACAGCGGCCGCTGTTGGGCAGGCGGCCTTCTGTCTCGAATGTCCACAGGCCGCGGCGGCGTGGACAGCGAGCCCTGTTCAAAATGAACAGGGACTGCTGTTGAGCATTGTACCCGTTCTTTCCGTGCCCATTTCATTCGTGCAGAAAAATGGGGGGCTGAGCATGGACCGACCGTCCCGGCAATCCTGTAGGCCTGCCAGGACAGGGCTGGACCTAAACGTCGTTCTTCGTTTTGCTCTCGCTGTGTGTGTTCGCTTTGCTCGACGTGTTTCCCTGCACCTCCCTGCCACAACGAAAAACAAAGCACAGCCGAAGTCCAGCAAAACAGCGTTCAGGTCCAGCCTTGCACCACGACATGTTCATAGGACCCAGAAGTGTACCAAAAACAAGAACACTGCTCTTGGAACCTGAACCCGATGTGTGTCAAAAGAAAACGGCCCCAACCAGAACTGTTCTGAGAGAATACCTCGTGCAGAAAACAACAAATTCTTAGAGCACTCTTTGGTGGGCCCATAGGCAAGCCAGCACGCTTCGCCACTGCTCGAGGGGTGGAGGCCTCGGATGGCAGCGGTGGGGTGCGCAGTGCTGGCAGTGGTGACGCCATCGCGGCAGCGGCAGGCAGCACTGGTAGCAGCGGAGGCCGCGCGGGGGGCTGCGGCCGCCGGGGGAGCAAGAACCAGGAGTACGGATGGCAACGGCAGTGCAACAGAGGCCCGAGGCAAGAGCAAGAGCGGTAGGAGATGGACCACAGGAGTGGAAATAGCCAGGGCAACAAGAGTAGCCGGAGTAGCAGTGGCGGCAGCAGCAACAGTATTAGTAGCATTACGGTGGTAGTGGCGCATGTGCCAGCAAGTACAGGACATACGTACAGATATGAGTTAGGGGATCTGTTTGCGTATGGTTGGTGAAGGTGGTGAGTGCAGTGATCGCCGTCGCCTCAGCAGCAGTACCTGCCGTTGTCGAGTCACGATGTGTTACCAATGCGCCATACAAGTTTCTTCACATACACACACACACACCAAGTGAATGTCATCAACCTCACTCTGGACTGAAGACAGGAAAGGCCGCCCGCTACCGCAGGAAGCCGTTGGCTTCGTCTAAAGACCTGCCGAT